TCAAACATTTACTACGGCTTCACACACGCCGGCACTCAATACGGGTTTGTGTCCAACACCTGACCATTGATTCATTGATACCATTGATAATTACCATTACTGTTGCCATTCAGGACAACCTATACTCCCGTCCCCACAACCCCTTATGCAATGACTGCACAAATGTATGGCACGTCGGCGCGAAGTCCTTACGAAACCGGTGTCGAGGAATGGCACTCACTTTGTGGTGAAGTTTTGCATCAAATTGAAAACGTTTTCATAATTAAGAGACAATCGATGAAAATGGCGTCAAATGCGGACAAATGTGAATACATCCATATAAAAGTGCCCAAAACTAAGCTTGGACATGCATTTTGGGTGGCAGTACCCATTATGGTGACCACAATAGGCCTACTCAAGAGTTTGTTGAGTAATATTGGATGGTTTGACGGCACCCGAGAAGATCTGGTCGTCCATTGCAAGAACCGTCTCATGTCTCAGATTTACCGATGATTTCACATTTGAAAGCAATAAAGACTCGGATGTCTATGAAATCATAGATAAACCTCACCCACAGTTGGGTCCGGCAGACAATCAGCAAACAATTGCCAATCATTTGGACAACGAGTCCGTGGTTTCGGTGTAAGTATCGGTTGTCCCGTAATCCATGTGTCCATCAATTGATTGCTTGCATTCATTACAGACAATCGTAAAACACATTCAAATCATTGAATAAATACTTTTGTAATGAATATTGAATTTATTGAATAAAACTATTTTTTTGTTGATTAAGTTTATACACTATAATATGTGGTATTCTGTACTATAATTACTATATTTAAGACACAACTTATACATCAATTAATACATCACTTATTAAAACATAAATATATAATCATTTCTATTAAATATCTCTGTTTTACATCACATTTAACTATAATTTGCGAGACTTTCAAATAAAATGAACAAAAATATAATTTACAAATGATTTTCTTAGAAACTAATTGTTCGGATGAGTTAGCGCTCGTATGTATCACTAATTTGTTAATACAATTCAATGAATGAATTATTTTGTTTGACATAAAAAAGTCTGTAATTAAAGAGTAATTGAGTTATAATAATGCGTTTGAATACACGACACATTTGTTTCATAGTTTAGACAATTAGATACATAATATTATCTCATATTCATAAATATAAGTTATTTGTTGTTTGTTTCAAATATTTGTTTCGCTATTTCATTGACATTTAATTTCGATAATAATATATAATATGATTGTTGAGATGAATATCAAAATATAGTCCTCTTGTTAGTGAAAGTAATGCATATACAGTACCTTGGTACTATTGGAATCGTAAGTCAATTACAATCTCATACTTCACTCGATTTCATAGAAAACGCATCTTTTGATGGATCGTTGAACTCATTGTTGAGACTAATTGTCGTGTACTTAGAGTTTGTGGGCATTTGTTGAACGTGTGGTTTGTTTTGTTGCATAAAGTATTTGGTGAACGAATTCTTACTGTAAGCTCGAGCGGAGGAGTTGTGGTCACCGGTGGGCGACGACTGCATCTCATTGATGGTGGCCGTCGACGTCGGCATTGAGCTGAATGTCAACGAAAACGACGTCTTCGGAGCGCTCATCGCTTTCGCGTCAGTTATGTTGCACTCAGAGCTGTGGACACGACTCAGCTCTTTGTGGCACTCGATGGCGGCGCCCGACGCCGAGCACTGTCTCGACTTTGTGCTCGACGTTCGCCTTTTGGTGGACTTCTTGTTGGGTTTGCGCTGCTCTTCGGTGGTGTCGACCGAACGGGACTGTTGTCTGCGCGGCGCTGACGATGACTTAGCGCCGGCGGCTTTGCTTGACTGATGTGTTTGCGAGGAATAGTTGGGACAACAGGGCTTATGGCTCTTGTGACACAACTCGCAGTAATTGGTTAAGTGTTCCAACGATTTCGACTCAAACTTTCCGATCAAATGCTTCGTTTGCGACGAACTGTAGGAGCCGTTTGGCGAACGACTGGTCGGCGTGAAGACGTTGTCACTGATGTGGTCTAAAGGACTGGGAGTATCGTCGATGTAGTCGAGTGGCGGACATATGGGGTACTGGTTATCATTGCTGAGCCGACTGGCGGTGGACTGTTGTTCGGGTGACACACAGAATGAGTTGAAATCGTTTTCAGTGGTGTTTGGCGCGAATGATGGGTCGATGTGTACCTCGACGGGCGTGACTGAGTTGGATGAGTAGCCACCGATGACGGCGTCTTTATAGCCGACTATACTTCCGGCCAACGCTTTGACACTCGCGTCGTCCATATATGATATGTTTGTCGAGCGCTCGCCGAAGCTGAGGGTCGCCGACGCCGTCTCGCAATGGCTGCTAAGACTGAACCGTTTGTTGGACGAGACGTCGGCCTGTATTTCCACTTTGTGTGCCGTAGAGAGCGTTCCGCTGGCGATACTGCCGGCACAGGCGGCCGTCGACGAGTTCTCGCGGTCGACGCCCACGCGGTCTAAATGACTTCCGCTGCCCATCGAGAGGCTAGTGGACAGACCTAACGACAGTTCGCCTATACTGGGATTCACACCACGATTGCTGAGAGCGGTGTCAACACTGACTCCATCTGCAAATGCAAAGCAATTGGTTCTCATGTAAGACGCGTTCACTTCATGTATTAATCGTTAAATTAAAATCAATTATAAAACAAATCATGTGATGAATTGAAAAGTAAAAAATGAGATAAAAAAACTTTTTTATTTAGTTTTATATTTCAAATGCATATAAAACTCATGACTTGAATGGAAAAAGTAACATAAAATGAAATAATAAAATATTTTTAATATAAAAACAGGAATTAATTTGTTATTTAAATACGTTATCCATTAATAAACAAAAGTGACTGAAAATAACAGTAATTGTATTCATAATGAAGTCATGCGTTCGTCGGAAATAACAATTCAATTAAAATATTAAACTATAAAAACAGTAGACATTAGAAGAAGTCATTTGAGATCTTAGGACACATGCAGTGCTTTATAGGAGTGGTGGGGAAGTAGTGTCAGTCACTCACCGGCGGCCACATTGGAGCCATTGATGCCGATCTCATTCTCCTCATCCAATTCGATGCGCACTCCGGAGGCGGACGTTATGACACCGCAGCCACCGCTCCGGCACAACGATATGGGAACCACGCCATACACGTAGGCCAACAGAATGGGAACTCCGATGCCGACGGCCACGGCCGCCAATATGGGCGACACGAATATAGACGTCAACACTCCGGTCGTCACCAATATATTCCTCTTATGGCGACTCATTTGGTGCCTCTCGAAGCGGGCGTGCAGTTTACGGCCGACCCATACGGGAATACCGATGATAATGGCGGGCACAGCGATGCCGGCGATGAGTGCGATGCCGACGGGGGCGCCGACTAACATACCCAACTGCCACATGATCTTCTTCTTGCGACTCCACGGCTTTTTGCCCCAAAAGGTACAGCCGGATGGGGACAAGTAGTGCAGATCAGAGATCTCTTTCATACACAGCCAACAGAACTCCGTCCCGCAGACCGAACACGTCATGTGATTACAGGAGCCGTCGTCCATCTTAATGATCAACACTTTACAACAGGGACAGGGCTTTATGTCGTCCCTCTGCACGATCGAGTCGTGACTGAACGACACGGACGACCCCTTTCCCCCGTGTCCTGCGTAGCGGAGGCCTCGCTGGGCTCGGGCCGCGTCGCACGTCTGGTTTGGATGCCATTCCTGTTTGCAGTGATAGCAGAACGATGTCTCACAACCGGGTCGTTCGCACTTCAGTTTGGGACAACTGGCGCACCCGCTGGCGATCACACAGTAGCTGCAGTCCGGCGCCGGACACCAACGGGCGTCCGGTTCTGTCACTAATATTCTCCTCAACATAAATGTCTCGTATTTTTCCATTAAATTTGTATCGAAATTAAGTATTCTTTGGATATCGTTTGGATGGAGCGGTTCCGTACATTCCGGACAATTTATGTTTATTCGACTCTCGAGGATCTCGATCTTCAGGTACTGTTGCAGACAATGATGACACGCCCGATGGGTACATGTGCTCAGCTCCGGGAAGTTTAAGAAGGGCTGTTCCAACAGACACAGCGGACACTCCATCGAACCCGAAGAACAGCTCGAATTGTCGACAAACGAGGGAACCGTTGCGTTGAAGTATTCGCTGCGACCGCTCGACAAGGAGTAGGACTCGACATCGAATGTGGAACACGTGGGCCGATGGGAACCACTCCTCACGTTTGTGACGCTCTGTTCAGTCAAACGCAACCATACATCAGATTAGTATTCAGTGGTATTAGCGCTCAAAGCGAGTGGACATACCTTAGTATCGGAAGCGGATCCACTATCGGAGGAGTGTTTCTCTTTTGGAGGCTTACTATGTCTTGTGCTGACAGTGCGTCCAATGGTTGACTGGTTGAAGAGGCGCCGCAACGAAAACCTTCGTAAACCCAATCCGTGTTTTTTATTGGCGGCGCCGGCGTTATTGGTCGCGCTGTTCGTCACAACCGTTTGATTGGCGACAGTAATCGATACGTCTCTCGGGTTAGCGGTTGTCGTGTTTCGGAGGTTTTGGTGTTGAGATCGACTCAAATTGGGCGCAGATTTGTGTTCATCAGAACCAGAAGCTCGAAGGGATTTCATTGTCTGAATACACGACAAAACAAATGCACAGTTAGTACACAAATCTAAACATTAAATTTTAATTTAAACGTTAATTAAAAATAAGAAACGGAAAAATATGGTAAAAAATATTTACACAATTTAATCAAATTTTAATTAAACTCGTAATTATAGACATGACATAAGATCAATGACCTCAACGGTAAAAAACTTCAATTAAAAAGCTCTTAATATCGAAACCCAGAAAATTAATGTCAAATCAAAAGCCAAGTTTTTGTAACATATTTTCACTTTTTTGGATAATCAGTTCATATGCTAATCAATTGCAACAAACTATCGTAAAAACTAACGATTAAAATACTAACCTAAAAATGCACTCAAAAATCTTCACTATATTTATAAACCATTTAATTAATACAACGATTCAAAACATCATTTCTAAACAGTGAACGCTTTTGACATAAATTGCAAAACAATTTTGAATATTTATATAAATCTAATATTCCACAGCAAATGACAAAACTTGTTGTCATAATAAACATCATTCACCACTGAATGCGTTAAACATTAATTCAATGAAAGGCGAGAGAAAAAACGATTAATTTATCATTTAATCCAATCATCCGTTAAAATAGTATTCAGATATTATTGGAGAAAAATTTATTTCATTAATATATTGCAACAGAACCGCGACAAACATGTCATGAAATATATGGTATATATTAATACAAAAAAAATAGTTTAGTCACTAAAGTCGACACATAAAAAGCGGAGACAATAGACAATAATAAATATTATATAACAAACCAATAGGCGATAGTAAAAAATGTGAATTAACTTTTCGTATAAAACAAAAAATATTTAGTCAAATATTCATTCAATCGCTGAATTCAATGGCTTTTACGCAATCAGTGAATACCACTCGCTATTCGTCAGACAATTATATTTGTGCGAAAAACATATGACTTTTACATTTGGAGATAAAAATAAACTTCTGATAAATCTATTCAAAGGAGTTTTTCTGAGTATTTGATTATTACTCGGCATTTGAATAACAAAAATATGTGCGATAAACAGGATTTAAGTGACCAGTGATTACAAGTGCTGGTAATTATATCAACAAAAAACACAGTGACTATAAACTAGTAAATAAAAAATCAATAATTCATAAGTCATCGCAATTTAATCTCAAGAGTGAGTGAATATTCAATAAATAAAAAGTCAAACAAATATTTTGGAAATATTTCGTATTTTAAATATTTATCATAAATATTTCATTTGAAAAATGATTTCTCGTTTCGAAATAAAACTGCATTTAATATCAATGAATACTAGAAAACAACAAAAAATACATTCAAAATCACAAAATCAAAACCCATAACAGGTTTTACAAAACGGAGATATTGTTAGTCTTTTAATGACACATATTAACAG